CTGCACAGGCAGTCAGCACTGGAATTGGGGGTCCGTGGCCAGAAGGTTGGGCCTCGGTCGGGGTGGTGAAGCGAGGTCTGACATGCCACGGTAGACGCCTCGTGGGACAAAATATGCAAACTGAGGAGAATTATGCAGGAGAGAGGAGTTTGTGTAAACGCAAGTGCATATGACTGAGCGTGAAAGGAAGTCGCAGCGGTGACTTGAACGCGACCCGCAAGAGGCGTAATCGCCATCCCTTTCTACGTCAGAGACCGAGAACATGGCGACGTACCTCTATAGAAGCAGAAGAGCATGGGCTCTGCGTGTCGCACAACTGCGAAAGACGCGATCTTCGTCCAGGAAGGCAGCGAGAATCAAATATCGGAGGCGATCCCCGGGCGCATCGTAGGTAATCTGGCAGGAAGGGTGGGAAAGCGATCTGGCCAGCTGTTCCTGCGCCCAAGGTTGGACATTGAAACGGCCCGCCGCGGCAACCCTGTCCTCGAGCCACAGCCCTGCGCCTGCGCCACACAGCCCAGAGTGACGCGACGTCGAGACACATATTCATGGACTCTACAATTCACATACCGCCCTTCCCTCTGCGACACCTACTGTTCTCGGGGACTACGTCATATACCATCGACACGGCCCAAACAGCGCTCGGCCGCCGAAACAAAACGTCGAGTCGCCCAGACAGCCCATTCAGACACCCCCGAAACGCCGCGGACCCCCGAAGGCAACCCTCGTAGCCATAACCACATCCAGCCCGTCGCACATGAGGCGGAACTAGCCAGCACCCTCTCCGCCCGCCCATGAGCCATGGCCGCTCCCCACCAGTACCACCAGCCGAATGCGCCCGACGACGACTCGGACCTAGAACTCGACCTAGAGGAGCTGGACCCTCTGGCCTCTCGCTCCCAGTCCGCCGCTACACCACCACGGCGCCAGTCCAAGGAGCAGCGACGGCCATACCATGAGCTGGGCGCGAGGATACCGCTGAGGAATCTCAGAGTCGGCAGGCTGCGCGCGAGCAAGAAGAAGGAAGAGCCGGAAGAGGACGACCTAAGAGGGCTGCTGGACGACGATGAAGGGTCCAAGAGAGACTCCGCTGGCAGTTATGGCCAGTCGGGCGATGACGACTCGCCGCTCTTGCCTGAGCAGCACACACCACGGAGAAGACGGCAGCCACCACCGAGCGCTCTTTCCCGCCTGGGATCCAACATGCGCCTGCCCAGCTTCCTCTCGCGCCAGAACAACGCCCCCATACAGTTAGGCGACGACGCCGGAGAGTCGGATGCCGACGAGGAGCACGATCCCACCACCCAGCGCACCATCTCCGTCGGCCAGCTTCAGACCTCGAGATTCCCCGCGAACGCCGTGTCGAATGCCAAATACACCCCGTGGAGTTTCCTCCCACGCACCCTCTACAATGAGTTCTCCTTCTTCATCAACATGTACTTTCTGCTCGTCGCCCTATCGCAGGTCATACCCGTCCTCCGAATCGGCTACCTGTCGACATACATCGCACCGCTGGCTTTTGTCCTGACAATAACATTGAGTAAAGAGGCAATGGACGACATTGCTCGACGGCGGAGAGACGCAGAAGCAAACTCGGAGGGTTACACCGTTCTGAAGTTTGAGGAGAACAGCCTCGGGAACGGCGTCGCGCCCGGAAAGAACTCGCAGAGGAAGAAGCGCCTGAGGAAGCAGCCCAAGGACGAGGGTCGGTTGGCAGACATTGATGACGAGGAGCAGCGACTTTCGGGCAAGGGCCTGGCGACATGCACCTACTGGGAAGTTGTGAAACCCTCTCGGAGCCTCAGAGTTGGAGACGTCGTGAAACTCGGCAAGGACCAGCGAGTGCCTGCCGACATGGTGCTCCTCAAGAGCTACTCCAGCGAAAATGCAGCACCTATTGAAGATGGAACCAAGGCGCAAAGTTCATCGGCTGCGCTTATTGATGGCATGGACACCAGCGACACGGCCAAGGTTGACAGTGCCACAGCTTCTGGAACCTCGGGAGAAGCCTTCATTCGAACAGATCAGTTGGACGGTGAAACCGACTGGAAGCTGCGCCTGACCTCGCCACTTACACAGAATCTGGATATTGGCGAGTATACCCGGCTCCGCGTCGTGGCCGGCAAACCGGACAAGAAGGTCAATGAGTTTTACGGAACCGTTGAACTGCCACCCAAGACCCAGCGACATTATGATCCTCATGATAACGAAGAAACGACATCCCCCACAGAAGTGCAATCAGCACCCTTGAACATCGACAACACCATCTGGGCGAATACTGTCGTTGCATCAAGCTGCAGTCTACTGGCTGTGGTCGTATACACTGGCCCACAAACTCGTCAAGCGCTTTCTACATCGCCTTCAAGATCCAAGACCGGTCTGCTTGAATTGGAGATAAACTCTCTGACCAAGTGGCTATGTATCTTCACCCTCTCGCTCTCTTTCATCCTAGTAGCACTCGCGCGATTCCAGGTCATCGAAGGCCGGCAGTGGTGGGCGTCAATGCTGAGATTCCTCATTCTGTTCTCCACTATTGTCCCAGTAGGTCTGCGTGTCAATCTCGATATGGGCAAGTCGGTCTATGCATGGTTCATACAGCATGATGAAAGCATCAAAGGCACTATCGTTCGGACTAGCACAATCCCAGAAGACCTGGGTCGCATTGAGTACCTGTTGAGCGACAAGACAGGTACTCTGACACAGAATGGTATGTTCAACCATGAAGTAATCTCGACACTACTAACAGTACGTAGAGATGGTCATGAAGAAGATTCACGTCGGCACAGTCTCCTACGCAAACGAGGCCATGGACGAGGTGTCATCATACGTTCATCAGTGCTTCACACCACCCGCCGGTGAAGCCCCATCGCTTGTTACGCCTTCTTCTGCATACATCGCACCTCTCACCTCAGCCACTCGTACGCGCCGAGAGATTGGATCCCGGGTCCGCGATGTTGTGCTAGCCCTAGCCCTCTGTCATAACGTAACGCCGACCACGGAAGAAGAGAACGGGGAGACAGTGACTACATACCAAGCCTCCTCTCCCGATGAGATTGCTATCGTCAGATGGACCGAGGCTGTTGGTTTGAAGCTCCTGTCTCGCGATCGCGAATCTATGACCCTTTTATCGTGCGACAGCGGGAACACTGTCGTCAAAGTGCGCATTTTGAATGTCTTTCCATTCACATCAGAAGGCAAGCGCATGGGTATCGTCGTGAAGTTCTATCAGGGTCCAGCATCATCACCCACTGACGATGGTGGCGAAATCTGGTTCTATCAGAAGGGTGCCGACACTGTCATGACCTCCATTGTTGCCGCCAACGACTGGCTCGACGAAGAGACAGCCAACATGGCCCGGGAAGGTCTCCGAACACTGGTCGTCGGCCGCAAGAAGCTCTCCGCGCAGATCTACCAAGACTTCTCCACCAAGCATGCGCAGGCCTCGCTTGCCCTCAACAACCGTGATGCCGCCGTCGCCAACGTCGTAAAAGAGTATCTAGAGAACGACCTGGAACTTCTCGGTGTCACCGGTGTCGAAGACAAGCTACAAAAAGACGTCAAACCCTCCCTCGAACTCCTCCGCAACGCAGGTATCAAAATTTGGATGTTGACAGGCGACAAGGTAGAAACAGCTCGCTGCGTAGCCGTCTCCTCCAAACTCGTAGCCCGCGGCCAATATGTCCACACCATCGCCAAGCTAAAGCGCAAAGACCTCGCTTCTTCCTCCCTCGACTTCCTCCGCGGAAAACTAGACGCCTGCCTCCTCATCGACGGCGAATCCCTCGCGCTATTCCTCCAACACTTCCGCCAAGAATTCATCACCGTCGCCGTGCAACTCCCCACTGTCGTAGCCTGCCGGTGCTCACCCACCCAAAAGGCCGACGTCGCACGCCTCATCCGCGAGTTCACGAAGAAGCGCGTATGCTGCATCGGCGACGGCGGCAACGACGTCTCCATGATCCAAGCCGCAGACGTAGGCGTCGGCATCGTAGGAAAAGAGGGCCGCCAAGCCTCTCTCGCAGCCGACTTCTCCATCGAGCAATTCTGCTACCTCGTCAAACTGCTCGTCTGGCACGGCCGCAACAGCTACAAGCGCTCCGCCAAACTAAGTCAATTCGTCATTCACCGCGGTCTCATCATCAGTATCTGCCAAACCGTCTTCTCCATCGCCAGCAGCTTTGAGCCCAACGCTCTATACAAAGACTTTTTGCTCGTCGGCTACAGCACGATTTACACCATGATGCCTGTGTTCTCTCTCGTGCTCGATCGCGATGTCGATGAGAGCGTCGCGAACCTCTACCCGGAACTGTACGCTGAACTCAAAACAGGACGTAGTCTGAGTTACAAATCTTTCTTCATATGGGTCGCGGTTTCTGTCTACCAGGGCTCCATCATACAAGGTCTCTCTCAACTTCTCATCGGCGTGGGCACATCTACAACACCTCCCGCAGCACCTGACCCCACTTTCCTCAAGATGGTCAGCGTCAGTTTCTCCGTGCTTATCGTTAATGAGCTTGTTATGGTGGCTATGGAGGTCACGACGTGGCATTGGATCATGATTGCTAGTATTGTGGGTACGGCGGCGATTTACTTTGGTTCTGTGCCGTTTTTGACGGAGTACTTTGATCTTGAGTACGTGGGCAGTGTGGCGTTTTGGTGGAAGTTTGCGGTTATTGCAGCGATTAGTCTTGTGCCGCCTTATGCGATTAAGTTGTTGAGGCGGACGCTTAAGCCGCCGAGTTATCGGAAGGTGCAGGGTGTGTAGGGTATGCATAGCGGGAGTTTGGTTGGGGCAACGAGAATTTATTTTTATCCTTCGTTGTCTGCTTTTTGATGTGTTGCATACATTGAGTTCCTTGGTGGTGCTGCTATCTGCTTCGTTGATCAGACACTGTATTGCTCCAATAGGTGAGGTCGACCCTTCATCCCAGTCCAAATCTGCCATGTAGTCCCGCTGCCTGATCGTTTCGCGTCCAAGGCGTGCCCATCATCTCCAGTCCTTAGCCAATCTTTTGCAGAGTACCCGATCCCTTCTTCGCCCTCGGAACCCACAAGTCCTTTCTGAAACCCCACTCAACCTTGCGAATACCGTCACTCTCGATATCCATGACGCCAGAATCGAAGACCCAAGCCATAGTGTCCCGGTCATGAACGGAGTCGCCGCTGGTAGAACGGCAGGGGGGAAAGCACGACACGCGTGGTGCTTCTGAGTCCAAAAGCCTCCATGCTTTCGATATATGCTGCCTAATTGGGGACATGACGTCATAGATGCCATAGCGGACGTAGAGATGAAGACGTTCGAGTGAGGAGAAGTTCTCAAGACGCTCGCCCTGGTAACGTACTCCGGTTGTGGTAAGCATGAGGTGCGCGAGTTTCTTGATGACGTCGTTCGGTAGTAGAGTCATCAAGACTAGTACTTTGGTAGCTTCAGGACTCGTGTAGTAAACTTTGAGTATAGCCACAGGCGCTTGCTGAGAGATGGCTCGATCTGAGAGGAGAACTACATCGTGTGAAAAGTTGATGTAAATCTTGAAGCTGGTGGTATGGCCTGGCTCCTGTCTGCCGTCGAATCGTGCCTTCACCTATACATTGACGAGGATGTCAGCGCGTCAACGTCCCAAACAAGTTACTAATACTGGGCAAAACACGTACAGTAGTCCACTCTCCGCCGCCGGCTTTAGCAGCTTCACATCGTGCTTCGCGGCTGACCTCGAAAAGAGTAGGGTAACGGCGAGACACAGCGACGCCCACCTGGGGGCCGGCTTTGTAGTTGTGTAGCTCGATAATGCGATGGCGTCCCTTCAAGTCGGTGTAGTCGTCCTCGAGTGCGACGTGCCAGATACGAACGCGCAGTTCGGCGGGAAGGTTGGAGAAGAGGTGAAATGTAGTCATCATGGCTGCGTTCAGCCTTGCGCTCGGAATTAATCGAAGAGCACTTGAAGGGTTCGAAGTGAGGAAGGCGGGGAACTCTAGGTAGATACAAACGGAAAGCCTGGGCTTGGCACTCACAGTTGCCTGTCACAGTGAGCTATGACGTAAGCACGTGGCAGAGATATCGTTCAGTGAAGGAGACAGACGCGTATGGACGGGTCGTCCCGGCTAGCTTCAGTGTGATGTTTTACAACGGGGCATTGGTAAGTGAGAAGAAAAGCGAATGAGTTCCGGACGTCTGAGTTAGAGCTATTACTATTATTGGATTGGAAAAACTGCTGGCAGATCGCGAGAAGTAGAGAACGTCGACTTGCCGACCTTCCGGGTTTACCGAATACAGCATTCACCTATATGTTACCTGGTATGTACTCGTCTGTACATCAAAACAACAGCTTGCGATTTCATTTGTGGGTTAGCTCTCAACCGCGAGGGTGCGTCTTGCTGGGTAACCGTAGCATCATTGATGTAGAAGACGTGATCAGGACCACGTGCGCTCGCTACCCAATGTCCGGAATTCAGATGTCGTCCAAAGTGAGACAGCACACTGCTCAGTCGATACTTGAGCGACGGTGGATTGCCGCCGACGGCTTGGTACTGAGCGAGATCCAGATATTCGTTGAGGACTACAGGGTTATTGTTCTTGTTACCTTGGTGGACAATACTGAGTTTGATGCGGAGGTACTCGGGCGACCCTTCGATGTGTATAGATTCGGTGAACGGCTGGAGCATGTTACAGGTACCGCAAGGGAGATTGCCCAAAGGCGATGGCGTGAACTGTCGATGCATGGCATCTGTGACGCTATCTCTGGTACCCGGAGGGAGAATGGCGACGTTGTTGAACCCGATACCGTCAACGTTGGTACCTGCAGGCAACGTCCGGGTAGCACCGCATGCACAAGTCCGGTTCATATCGAGCTGAAGAATGAAGAGTGCTTCATAGCGAGTTCTCCATTCTGTATTAACTGCGAGACTACGTATGTTAGCACAAGCCGGTCTAGTATCTTTCGGGCACCTTACGTGTGATCAACAGATTCAAGGCATGCCGTTAGTAATCGCGTTTGCATTTCCTCTGGATCTTGTTGCGCGTTGCCTGTACCCGCTCCAGGCGTAAACACACGCAATGCGTCGTCTACATCGTGCACCGCCTGTAGCTGTGCATGATCAAATCGCAGGGGTTTGGGGTGGCCATTAGCATTGAGATTTTGATTACCCCAGTAAAACTGCGCTAGAGCTTTGACTGCACAAGCAGGGCAGTCTTCTAGATCTTCTGGTTCTTCTTCGTCTTTCTTTTTCTTCGAAGTATCGCTTTTACCCAGCGTCAAGCCCTGTGCTAGTTGCGCTTGAATAGCGGCAACAGGACGACAAGGGAACACAGTCGTGCTACCTTGTGTACTGTTGTGTGAGATGATCCACTGAAGGAACTTTGGCAGATGCAATAGCGCTTGCAAACCGCTCAGGCGAAAACAGGTGTTACCATTTCGCCCCAAGCCTCTGCTTCTCCTGTTTCGCCGCGTGATAAGCCATTCGTTCCGAATTCGTCTAGCTACAGTATTCTTGACTACTTGTCTTGGATGTGGTGCCGCTGGTGCCGCTGGCACCACTGCTGCCGGTATCGGGATACCGCGCAGATTGTAGCCAGTGTGGCGAGCTCCAGCCCTCGTGCGGTGTGCATAAGCCATGAAGCGTAAGGTGAACTTTGAGATGCGGGCGATCCTCCGATTTGGTCACTGTCGGTGATGATGTGACTTTGGAAAACAAGACACGCGACAGACTAAGGATCGTCCATGTTATACAGCTTGGTCCACAAAGGGGACAATCGTCGGAACGAATGGCTTTGTCGAACTACCTCCATATCTCCGACAACAAAGACATTGTCTGGCAGAGCAGAACGCTGAGCGTGACCCAGCCAGAGTTCGCAGGCCACTTTACAGGTTTGTTGATGCGACCTGGTTATTCTCAGTAGTCACTGCTGAAGTCGCTTTTCTGAAGCGCTGTAACAATGATGCCGTAGATCCCGAGCGCCAACTACCTAGGTAGAGAGCAGACGGAGAAGCAAGACGGCACGCTTTGAAGCGACTTCACGTCTAGTCGTATGCGTTTCGACTTTGAGGAGTGCCATCGTCGAGAGAACTGCGCTTGGGACACTGGCACACCATCAACGATTTCGATGCCCACTTCACGAACAAGAGATTCTTCTTTCCTACCCGCGATTATCGTGAACCTCCACATGCTTGTAATGCCTCCTTTGCTTCCATTGGATTGATGTCGGCTCTTACTCCAAGCAGCGCCTCGGCATGTAAAGTTTCGGTGAGTGCATTTTGCAAGGCTCTTGATACGATCTCGATATTCGCGCCGTCGTCCAAGTGCTGCACCCCGGAAACGTCTTCGCGTCATTTCGGCTGTGGTCGTGTTCGGCTCCAGACTCTGAAAAATCTCCTTTCAACACGTGGATTCGTGGAAATCCACAAACCCGAGGATTCTCTTCTAGCTCGTCGACTAGAAGTCCGAGGGCGTCCGCCATCTGTACATGCCCTAATGGAAGCGTCTAGCGCTCTTCGGAGACTTGCCGTCTTAGTCGTGGTCGTGAAAGCGGCCTCGCGTTCATTGGATCGCTGTCGGTAACAATGCGCATCAGCAAACAGAGGACGCGCTGACGCATATGCAGAACGGTCAGAAGACCTCAGAACGCTGTCCGGCCCGCACCTTAATTGACTTGGGCGGTACTAAAGTACCGGAATGCGGGGACGGCGGATCGTGATGGTGACGCTAAGCCGCAATCCCGAGGCACATCAGCTCGCTTACGCCGCCACTCTCATTTCGACCCTGCGACTTCCTTCATTTCCCCTGAGCCTTCCCACCCTCTAGTCTGCCCTAGAGCCAATACGCCAACCTTGGAAACAAGTGCAGCGGCCAATACTACTGCGTCCATGGCAAAGTCGGAGGTCTAGTATTCCGCAGCTTCCTGATCGGGGCCCTTGACCGTTTTCTGTACCCCACCGATGTGTTTCAAACGTCCACGAGGCACACTGGACGCCTCTAACTCGGTCCGAGAGATCGCCACGAGTACTATGATCGCCCAGGTACACTTCTTTCAGTGGATTCATGACGGTCCGGAGCATCACCATCGTTCTCTGTGCGGCTTCTAACCATACTTCGGCTTCTTAGTATCTTCGACTACCGCAGAGAGGCGCAGAAGTCTACCACGAGGTCGTGTAAGCCTTACTCGGGATTAAGGCAACTTTGTGGGGTAGCCTGAGGGACATTGGGTGGCCTTGTGATACCCACGCGTGGCACGTCTATAAATCCAGCGGCCGACCTCATCCAAAACGAAAGCATCACAGCCTCGCAACTTCAAGCATCCGCTCAGAAAAGCATCGAGCTGATCAAGATGTTGTTCTCCAACCTCATCACCACTGCTCTCTTGGGCTTCACTTCCCTCGTTTCAGCGGCTGACACGAGCGCCTGGAAGTCTCGCAGCATCTACTTCGTTCTCACTGACCGTGTTGCTCGCAGCAGCAGCGACACTGGAGGCGCATCATGCAGCAACCTTGGCAACTACTGTGGCGGAACTTTCAAGGGACTTGAGTCCAAGATAGACTACATCAAGGGCCTAGGATTCGATGCCATCTGGATCACTCCGGTCGTTTCAAGTACGGTTCGCTCGTCAACATTGGACTTTATGTGTATTAACAACAATCGTAGACAAGGCTGCTGGATACCATGGCTACTGGGCTGAGGACCTGTATGCCATCAACTCAAACTACGGTACTGCTGCCGATCTGAAGAGCCTAGTTAGCACCGCTCATGCAAAGGTACGACTAAGTCAGGCAACATTAAATTTATACATCCACTAATCCGGTACAGGGCGTCTATGTCATGGTCGATGTCGTTGCCAACCACATGGGACCAGGTGCGATCACGAACAACCGCCCTTCGCCACTGAACCAAGCTTCTTCATACCATTCCGCCTGCGACATCAACTACAGCAACCAAGGTAGCGTCGAGCAGTGCCAGATTGCTGGTCTCCCTGACCTCAACACTCAATCGTCCGAGATCCGCAGCGTCATGAACACTTGGGTTTCTTGGCTCGTCAAGGAGTACAGCTTCGATGGCGTTCGCATCGATACCGTCAAGCACGTCGAGAAAGACTTCTGGCCCGGATTCTCTTCTGCGACGGGAGTTTACAGCATCGGCGAAGTGTTCGATGGCAGCCCAACTTACCTTGCCGAGTACGCCAAGCTCATGCCTGGTCTTCTGAACTACGCGGTCTACTACCCCATGAACAACTTCTACCAACAGAAGGGCTCATCCCAGGCGCTCGTAGACATGATGAACACCGTCAGCAACACCTTCCCCGACCCATCTGCTCTCGGTACCTTCTTGGACAACCACGACAACAAGCGCTGGCTCAACGTGAAGAACGATCAGACCCTGCTCAAGAACGCCCTGGCTTACGTCATCCTTGCACGAGGTATTCCCATCCTCTACTACGGTACCGAACAAGGATACGCTGGCGGTGACGACCCAGCCAACCGAGAGGACCTATGGCGAAGCGGCTTCAACACCAACGCGAACCTCTACCAGGCCATCAAGAAGTTGACTGCCGCGAGGAAGTCCGCAGGAGGTCTTGCCGCTGATGACCATGTTCACTTGTATGTAGCGGACAACGCCTACGCCTGGAGCCGTGCAGGCGGTAACCTTATCGTTCTTACTACGAATGCCGGAAGCACTTCCAACCAGCAGCATTGCTTCAACACCCAAAAGGCCAACGGAAAATGGACAAACGTCTACGGAAACGGAGCCGCGGTGACCGCCGACGGCAGCGGTAGGATCTGTGTAACCGTCAGCAATGGTGAGCCCATCGTCCTTACTGCTGGCTCCGCTACGCCCACCACTGGTACCACCCTTACCACAAAGACTGCCACTGCTACATCGACCACATGCCCGACAGCTGTCTCGGTCTCTTTCACACACCGCATCACCACCGTTCCTGGTGACACAATCAAAATCACCGGTAACACCGCGCAGCTCGGCAACTGGACGCCAGCTAATGGTCTCACTCTTTCGGCAAACAGCTACACCTCTAGCAACCCCGTCTGGACCATTACAATCCCATTCGCGGCTGGTTCATCAATTCAGTACAAGTTCGTGAAGATCAGCAGTGGCGGAACAGTCACTTGGGAGAGTGACCCGAACAGAAGCTACACCGTACCCAAATGCCAAGCGAGCGCTAGTCTGAGCAGCTCGTGGCAGTAAGTTAAGTATACATAGTAGCTCTTTCTTTCGGAGGAGAATGGAAAGGGCTAGTAAACAAGAGCCGTGGTAGTACACGGATTGCTTTCTATCATCAGCATCGTTTCATCTCCCACTTTCTGCAGAGTGACTATTTTGCCTGATACATGACGTCATTCAACAACTGCTCTGGTAATGGTAGGGAGGTTTTCGCGCTCAGTGGACATACCTAGGAAGCACCTTCTTACCTTCTCTTCATCAGAAGCATGTCGCTTACATGTACTGCCACCACCTTCACTGAATTCGCGATGGGCGATGCAGAACACTCTGGTATTGGAAGAGCGACAGTCGTTCATCTATGGCAAGTTTTTCACTTGCGTCTCTTGCCGCCTGGCTAACCAGATTCCTCTAGTATATACTTGTGCTTCCCTCCACCGCAACATCACCCTCGCGCTCTACATCACCCACTCGTCACGCTCTTCCAAGCCCCATTCAACTGTCGGCAACACTACCTAGGTAGCTAGCCAAGTCCCGCTACCATCAATACAACCGAGTACTCAAGCATGGGCTGTGGATCCGAACACTACACGCGCTGGAATCGCGTCAGCTTCAAGCATCTCCTCCTACAGCATAGGCTAAATAGCATTGTCTCAAGATGGCCCAGCCGGCTACAGCAACATAGGAACCGCCTACATCGCATTAAGGTTTCGGTCGCAAAGCGGAAGGCCCAACGCGCACATGACCTCAAGGTACTGATAATGCGGCGCAGAGTCCGTGCGTGGAAAGTTGCTGTCAGTCAACTCTGGAAGCAGTCTCGCGTTCTAAGACGCCAACACACTGCGGACCGAGACTCTGTCACACCGGAAGACTGGGATCAGCTATTTGAGAAATCTCCTGGCAAGTTGCGCGCCATTTATCAAAAGCCTCATCACAAAGAGAAGTGGCCGAAGGAAGTTCCCTACTTGAACATGATAGCGCTGGCAAACTACAAGGCGAAGCGGTACCGGCAAGCGCATCGGCCACAAGCCGTTCCGAACTTAAACCTTACGGCGGTAAGGGACCTGCAAGAGAAGCTTTGGCCACGAGTGGGGTGGCCGAAAGAAGACCCGTATTCCAACAACGAGGCACGCGTGGAGTACTGCGAGAAACATTGGCCGCGAGTCAACTTGCCCAGGAGCGTGCAATATCTTGACCTCGCAGCGCGTCTTCCCTACGGGGAGGGTCTTCCATCCGCGAAATGGGTTGAGGGCGTGCCGCATGTAGACTACGTCGCGCTCGCTGCCCACATCGGGAAACCAAAAGCAGAAGCCGAGAAGGTAAGGCGAACATCAGGCTCTGGTGCACCGCCATCTCGAGAAACAAGCTGCCACGCTTCACAATCAACAATGTCTCGAAAAGAACGAATGCATACATTGCCCAGGCCCCAATTCGATGATCGCTTCCATGTTGAACTCTTCAAGAAGCGCCAGCAAGATGCAAAGTACCAAGCCGAAGTCGCCATGAACGACGTTGCCATCAAAACTCTGAAGCAGTTCATCAGGCAGCTTGATCAAGTCAAAGTTCTTGTTGAGCAGAGCCGGAAGAATCCTCGTAGCGTTACGGTGAAACAGTGGCAATATGCCGCAGAAGGTACAGATATCCTTGACACTAATCTTGAAGCTGCGCAGCGAATGGAATTTTCGAGGAGACTTGAGGTAGGTGAGATTCCTGTGGGTACAGGAGGGCAGGGACTTGTAAAGGGGTTCGAGAAGATGCGGAGAGAGTGGTCTGAGAGATAACGTGTGGATGGTTACTGTCGGTCTCTCAGAGGCACCCACGTGTGAGCTCTCAGGCCAATGGTTGCTCGATTATAGCACAGGGTCTCGGGTACTACGTCATCGTCTTGTATCAAGTTGACAGCGACCAGGTCGCCGGTGAAACTTAATGCGATTTGCCGGCTTGGGTCAGTGTAGCTTAATTTATCTGAAGAGAAAACATGCGGAGATATCTGGTCAGGCTGACTTCTTTAACACGTGAACTCGCGATAGCATCTGCAAATAAACGCGCTAACATGGCTAGGAAACAGGCCAAGAGAAGATCATGGTCGTTTCAGGATGAACGGCGCGTTTTTTGTGATTGTGATAAACAGACGGATCGTGCTAAGAACGATAACAGCTATGCTAACAAACATACAAACGAGTTTTGAGCGCTTAGTCGGCTTGAAGCCGGTACGAAGGCTGGCATACCTCTGCAGTAGCATGATGCTTCAGTATAACGATCTTCGAAGATGGAATGCGGCTCAATTTTCGGAGCTGATCCTAACCAGGAATAGTTAGTCACGGGCATTCGGCATCCTCCGTAAGCTTATGCCAAGAACGGTGCGCAATCCACGGCTTGCTTGAGTAAGTTACCCGCGTAACCTGTCCTCTGGGGTACGACGTCCCAGCTCCCACGGATCGCGATCGGGAATCTAAGCGGTCCCAAGCGGTCACTGCGGCGCGGGAAACGGCTGCGAATTAATCTATATCCAGTGAACAGGCACCGTGGTACGCCTGAACGATGAGAACCTGTTGATGAGAACCTGTGAATAATATAGGCAAGGAACGCATTCTGAAACTGGTTCCCGACAAGGACTCGCATCACGTACGATCCATCCAAGATTGAGCATGTCTGCCTGCCAACGGCAACCTCCTTAGCCAAGCTACCTAGGTAGCCAACTAATCAGCCTCATGCGTCTTCACGCTTAGAACCGGGCAAGCCTCATGAGTGCCGCCGAACAAGCGGAGACGAGTATTGAGGCTCTGATGATGTCGTGTTCAGGAATCGCACCGAATGGCTCGTTTTCGCGCCATATCTGCAAGGCACACGGACGATCCCTCTCCTTGGCCATACTCCATCGCATGTATCCTCACGCTTGGAGCCAAGGAGTACATGAAAACAATTGACCGGGCGGTCTCAGAAACATGAGGCTTTAGCAAGATAGCAACGAGGATGGCCCGAATAAGATATCTGTATATGCCCCTTGGGTGGTGATCAGCGCAAGACTTTGGATATATAAGAGGTTGAGAAGTACTCCTCAATGTCCTCATCACGATCATCAAGTCTTCAATCATCACTACAACAGCCTCTTACAATCCACCCGATTTCACTCGCTGAATCACCAACCAACCCTCTTTCAAAATGAAGTTCCAACTCGCTACCGCTCTCCTCGCTGGCACTGCCGCCGCCGTCCCTACCTGGCCTCACCCTCACCCTCACAAGACCAACTGGACCGCCCCCGCTGTTCCTGAGCTCGACAAGCGCGTTGTCGACCCCGTCTCCATCGCCATCATCGGAGGTGTTGTCTCTGGTATTGTCGGTGTTTCCGGCACTGCTGCCCTCAACATCGCTAAGGATGCCATTGACTGGAACGCTGTAAGCCACAGCCTCTATATATCATATCCAGTTCTCAGACTAACTTTCTCACTACTCAGGCCCGTGAGGCTTTCACCCAGGCCACTGTCGCCGAGATGATCAAGCGCGCCGGCCCCGGCGAGGCTGCCGTCTGCTACAACAAGGGCTACGAGGTCACCAAGCCCAACCAGATGCGCGAGCTCTCTTCTGTCCGCTTCAAGTCTGGTGTCCTCAACACCGACTACGACTGCTTCCTCATGTCCGGCCCCGACAACTCCTTCTACAGCCGCGGTGACGGTGGCTACATCAACGTAAGTCGCAGCCATGACATATTTCCTCATATCAGTATGCTAATACCAACTAGCTTGCCATCCAATCCCCCTCCAACTGCAAGTTCGACAGCGCTACCTCCGACCTTTACTGCGCATAGACGATTCTTTTGAATCATGAAGTCATCTTTACAAATGACCCCGGGATGGATGGTTATGGATCATAAGAGTGCTACGTAGTTACCTTCTTACCTTTCTCATACTGTACACATCAATTTGCGAACGTCGCCTGTACATAGTTCGAATTCACTTTTTTACTTTGACAGCTTGTGCCTCAAATGAAGTGAAACTTGCCGCTCTAAGAAGAAGTCCTAATGGAAGTTTATTGCCACTAGAGATCGAGATGGAATCGAAATAGTCGCTTAACTGCAAATTGCCGTTGCGAAAATATGCGAACCTGCCAATTGAGGGCCCAAAGTAGATTTTGGATTCTGTTAATCGCGAAGATCTACTGTGGGCGAAGTACTAGACGTAAGCTGAGGAGTAGTCGATGTCAGATGTAGACAAGTAAGCATGTTTAAAGATGCCACTCCACTTAGAGATGTCTACATGTTTCGCAGTCACTAATAAAGAGTATTCAGTATGCTCGAAGTAGAACACTAGAGTGTTTTATTGGGTCTAGGATTTTAACTAACTGTGTCACAAAAGCTATTGGAGGAGGAACTTGACCGCCTTCTGTGCAGTACCAAGATCTTCCCAGCTACGAGAATGCACCTTTTGCCATCCTGAGATAGATCGCGAGGACGATGTGTGAAGTAAAAACTGTGCGCAGCTACTATTGCGTGACGGGCAGGAGGGTGCAGTTTCGAACCACGACGAAGAAGGTAACACTCGAGATCGGTCGAGCTGTATGGGAAACAGAATTATAAACTGATGATATTGATAAAGCAAAGTCAAAAGCGAGACGGTAATAATGCGACAAAATCAATGCATCGACGCACAGTTAGGAGAATAATGTAATAGATGGCGTTCAGGGTAAATCGATGCAGATGTATCGTGCTTTAATTCTTTTTAGCACTGTCACGACCCTCTTGCTGCCTTTTTTGACGATCATACTCGAGATATTACTACCTGGTGACCAGTGCATCAACAAGTTGTCCGATCAAGATCTGCGAGCAGTCTTGTGTAATCTACTGCTAATTGGATTAGGTGGGAGAGATGAGGCTTAGCCTCTTTACAATGTATCTATCATATGGCTACTACAGCGTCGTGGGATCTGCTTAGGCATCGACTCTATCCATCCACCAGGAGTCACTACTTAGTGAGAAAATAGACACTTCTAAGTTGACGAGAAGGGATAGCTATCCTCAATATGAAATCCGAGATCACTTTGGAATAGAAGTAGATAGCGATAACATCACTGCCGCGTCTGCATGAACAACGGTCCCCAGATTGTAGCCTGAACACACGAATGATAGTGACACATACTTGATCTGTGTTGATTATTCGCAATCCTCGAAGCACGTCAGCTCAGCAACCAGCCTCAGCCTCGCTGTATACTGCTCTATTCCTTTCGCCGTCAACACTGCGACACGCTCAAAGCAGGAGATCGTCATCGCTTATGCATGTCCACACCCATCATAGCGCAGCCTCAATCACCACCCGAAGCGAAACCACCTCGGCGAAGTGTCTGGCTCGGCATGGCGATACTCGAATCGAGTGATTACTATGGCCGTCAGCCCGCTTGGGTGCCGAAGTGAAATTTCCCGGTTATCTCCAGACGGATAAGGTGATCAACCTAGCAAGTTGCCACGAAGGAGCGGCCCAGTCCGCGCGGTACCGTTCAGGACATCGTTGCACGGAAGCGCGGTATTGCCAAGAGTAGTTTAGGTAGTGCATGTCATCTAAGCGGTTTGTCGCCTGCAAGTACCGGACGAGTGGTTGTAGTGCTGAGTCGTGAGGTAGAGAGAAAAGGTGTGGACCGTTCGAGCTGAAAAACCCAGCTCGGCATTTCATTACCACCAACCATAATGTCGCAGTCTGCACCCCAAACAATCCAGTTGCAGCACCTCCTACGCTTCTCGTCAACAGTTCAAACGTCTCATACGTGCGGTGCCGCCGACAAGCAGCATGCCAGCTCTCCACAAAACACCATTACCAACCGTTCGCTGCGTGCAACACCAAATTGGCGAGGCGCCCTTACCCAAAGCAGCAATCGAGGATGCAATGGATTCGTTAAAGGATTCCGGAAGTAAGACGATCCGGATACAAAACAGGATAAAAATGTTTAGTTTTACCGTTTTGGCCCTGTTGGAAGGATTCGTGTGGCGCAGGGCGCGGGAGATCATGAGGTAGTTGGGACGCGACTTGGTTCGCTGGACGGGCGGATGCAAACCGACCATGTCTTCTTGCCCAACTGACTCGGAAGAAGCGGACATGCAGCAGGAGGCTGAAGGATTTTCTGCTTCGCGACAAGAATTGGGGGCGTGGAAAATGTGGATTGTGACGCGCTGTCGCTTGCAGGCGCCCATTGTTAACTTTGCCTTGTCTCAATATGACGACGTAGAGGCCCAAAGCACGAGGCTAAGGCTGGAAAACAGGCCATTTTCGCTTAAGACGGTTGTTCTAGAAGCAGACGCACGACACACGAAAAGGTTTAGGGTCCTGCATCATCGAGAGGGAGAAAGAAAAAACGCATCAAAATACGGCAGCAACGCAACAGCCCAAAGCACCTAATCTGCATGTAAAGGCAAGGGCAAACTGTCCGAACCAACCTACCAGTCACAGTTACGCGCCCGTTGAACTAGCTTACCAAGTTGTTGGGACCACCCGCTGAGATGACCATGATACCCAATGGCATGATTCTCGTCTACTCTCCCAATGATATCGTACCTCGGTCTTACACTTTGCCCACCCCCTTGCTGACTTGCCCTTGCTCTGTTCATTCGCCTCACTCACCCTCAAACTTACCCCAGACATCTACAGCTATCATATCGAGGGATCTGACCGATGCGATATTAGCAGGGGGATGGGACGCAGGGTCCTCGTTCTGATTTCGTGCGTAAACACGGCCTTCGGCCGATACGTTGACTAAGAGAAACAAGTGTCGGGTTGTCATGGAATTGATTGTACACCTAGGAGGAGGTCCGTGGATGCTTACCGGCTGCAGGACATGAGATGCAGCTGCAGAATCGTGATGTGGGTAGCCATGTGCACGGGCTGGTCGTAGCCTACTCAACGATGACGATGTGGGGTGGGTTGCGGTGAGTTTACCTATTGACTTGACCAGCGGAAGGCCCTGTCATATTAGTGATTAGTATCGTATGAGCAACACAAGCTCGGTGCAATGAATGAGATACTGCTTTCGGACTGTTCGACAAGCCGGAAAGAACGTCGGACAGTTTCCCCTCGTACGAAGCCACACGGTACAGAACTATCAGTACTGTACAAGGCCCCGGCAAGCACTTACACAAAGGGCCATGTTCAGAGTGACATACCGTGTACATTACTTCATCAGCCGGAATTGTCTCCACATCTGCGACGCAAAGAATTTCGCGCCTTCTACTGCAAACGGGCGATGCACAACAGAGTCGTAGATGACGGGTGGCATCGGGCCTAATACAGGGCTCCACTATCCACTATCGCGAACACCGCGACACCCGCAGGCAGCTGTACAAACCCAAGGGAAACCGCGCCGCAATGTGATGTCGCATCGCGCTTCTGCGTCAAGATTGCCGGCGGATATACACGCACATCTACCTGCCGTCTCCGACTCCCGAGGCGTGAGATAGGATACCTGGATGGAAGGAATGCACGTTAGCCCAGCGCAACGCTATAAATAAATCAAGTTTAGCGTGGCACAACGGCTTTTGCTGCCTCGTGGCTTAAGGCGGGCAATTTTGGCCTCTGCTCGCTTGCATGCCTAGATGCGTGAGGTTTGAGTGCCCTGCTTGCGTCCGAACCCCGCCGTTGTTTGGTTGGGTGCATGGGGGAGGCCAGGGCCCTTGTCCTTGTGTCAGACAAGACAAGCTGCAAGCCACGGGTGGATGACGCTGGAGATTGGTTCCGGACGGCTGCGGCCCGCGCGACTGACAGATTGGGGAGTATGGTGCGAAATGCGACCGGGAGGTACAGATTCATTCATCTGTAGGAGTATGACACCCTGGTGGGAAGAGAGACAGAGAAACAATGGGGTTGTGAGAACCAGTGCTAGGAGGGGTTTCGCGTGCTTGAGGGTCCTTGAATCGCCTGAAGGAGGTGACGAGACCTGCGCAGCGGCCAGCCGATAACGCAGTCAGACGTTCGCGTGCGCGCCGTGCGACCCTTTAGAAACTCCCTAGAAGCATGCTACAGTAGGCGGCGCTTCCGGGCGTTGGACCCAGGTGCGAGGCCCCGGGTTCGTGTTCAGCTTCTGACGGGCTTCCGAAGGGTGGCACCAGAGAGCACGAGGGGTATGTGCTCGCTGGCTGAGCTATAGCCCTCGCCAACCGGGATTGCCGTGCTGCTCATGTAAGATGGCTGCTGAAGTGTGCAGATGCAGCTCGTGGATGCTGAGGGCAGGGTAGCTGAACGTTTAGCGAGTGAACCTGCGTGGCTGCGTATAGAGGAACGTTGTCCATCTTTCGGTGGGGTATTTTGCCCCAACCCTGTTTGTGTGTGTGTGGTGTTCATTTCGCTGAGCTGTTCCATGATGCCTAGTCGCGTGTTCGCATCCGTCGACCTGATTGCAGTGATGGAATAGGTGCAGCCCATGCACCGCTTAACTGCGCAATTTAATCAGCAAGTTGCACCTCGTCATTGCGTTACCCCACGTCCAACCCTAAACTGCCGTGTATCATCAACTCACTATATCCGTCTCAATTCTTCCGCCACTCATGACCGCAAGGGTTAATTGTATGACCGTTTGTAGACAAGCTTCGTACTTTTACCGTGGCCCTGGGTCTTGGTGTTCGGCGCTGTCAAGGTACCTTAACGGGATTTCGGAACGGACATCGCGTGTCGTGGAAGGTACAACGTAAGGTGGTACTTATGCAACAAGTGCGATGCGTGAGATAGCAGTTTCCACAGCATCGTTGAGAATGGAAGCGAGGTGGTGCTTCTTATCGACCGGTGTGACGAGCTTGACAAGCTGAGCCTGTGGCTATTCTGAGCACTAATGAAT